TTAATGGTGCTTCAGAAGTTCCCTTACGAAGTTTGTCTGGGTTTCAGGCTATTGAAAAGAGTGAATTTATATCCTTGCCAAATATAAGTGGCTGCTTTTTCTTTTCTATCAGGCATGTGGATCTTGTTACCACTGTGTTACGTTTCTGGAGTTTCTAGAGCAGAAGGCAGATAGGGCCCTGAGTTCAGAGCTCAGCTCTACTGTTTGTTGGACGTAGCCTTGGGCAGGCAAATCTGCTCTTGGCCTTAGTCTTCTGTTCTGCAAAATGGAAATGAGAAAGCACATCTCGTTGACAAATAGCCATTGGATGCTAGCTCTATGCTGGACTCTGAGCCAAGCTGTCCAATAAAATGCCGGGCAAGGCAGGGTGTTCACAATCTCAGAAAGCTTAACAGTTTAGCTCTCAAATGGCTCGCATGTAATGGGCTGCCTAAAAGGTGCCTGTGTTTTTCCTTTTTTTGCTGTAGTTAAGGTCGTCAAATATATATATGTCACTGCATATATGTGTGTGTGTGTCTGTGTGTGTGTGTCTGTGTGTGTGTGACTGCATATCTATAATATATGTCAGCAGAGAGATAACTAGACAGTTTCGGGAGAGGGGAGGGCATTTTCCTTGAAAATAAATACAAAAGTTAGTGTACAGTGTCTGTAAATCTCAGAGGACATTTTTCAAAGCTTGTGGAAGTACAGTACAGGCCAGGTAACAGGCTAATATCTACCGAGCTCCACTCCTGCCTGCAGCAAGCTTTGTGTGCCATGTGCTTAGCAGTTCTCTGATAGCCATACCATTTGGGAAACTTGAAAAGAAAGACGTTTGTGGTTTCTGACTGGTATCTAGTTTTTCATTTTGATGTAATAAGTCTAGGCTCAGCTTGTGAAAACTCTGGAAAGGGCAACTGAGTTATGACATCAAGCACCACCACGGGGAGAGGTGCTTGATGTAAGACCTGCCGGTGCCTCTTGATGACTTGTGTGGTCCTGAGCTCTAGTAAGCCCTCCTCTGGGCCTTGCACATTAGAAATGAGCCAGCACTAAGGTCGACCTGGCCTAGCTGCTTACCTGGAGGCAGCAACTGCCCAGGGCTGTTAAATGCTTCTCCCAGGAGCAAGCCAGGTTCCAGCCTGGTGGCAGTGGCCTCTGTGTGGCAAGAGGAAAGGCCCCTGCTCTCCCAGGAAGACTTCCATGGTCTTTAGAAGCACTGTGTCTTTGCTTCCTGCCTGGTCCCCAGAGCAATGGGGCCCTTCCTTTGCATTCTGAAACCTGGCACCTATCTTCCTGCCCTTCAGGCTCTTCTCTAAGGTTGGGGATGTGTTGACTCCTATCTGAACCAAGGCAACGAAACCTGTTTGTCTCTGTTTAATCAGGAAAAAAAAAGAGAGAGAGAACAGACAGGAAGAGAGAGGGACGGGAGGGAAGAGAGAGAGAGACGCAGAAATAGAGATGAGAAAAGAGTTAGATTAAAAAAGACAGGAAATGCAAAGAGGTCTGGAGGGATGGTGGGTTATGAGGGAGGCCTCAGTGCTCACTGTCCTAAAGGGCCAGCCTTGGGCAGCCTCTGTCATGCTGGCCTGCACTTATCTCTGCATCTATTTCCCTTTGTGCAAGACTCAGAACTGCTTGCTCCAAAGAAACAATAAAAGCATTCATGTTTAGAGCTGCACAGGTGAGAGCTACTTTGCTGAAACTGTGGCACTTTCTCCGTTGGGTTGGCTCTTACCTGAGATTGTTTGCTTTTCCCATGAAAAGTAGACCACCACTACACGTGTCTGTGATATACTTATTCCTTCTGACACCCACGCTGAGACCTAGTATTTCAAATTGGTCAAAATTTGGGAAAGCATGCCATTAATTCACTTTAGTCATTAACTCCTTTTAGTAAATGAAAGCTACTATTTTTTTAAAGCTGAGACCATAACATAACTGAGCTTAAAAATCTTTACTTTTTAAAAGTTTTTAAAAATGTATTCATTTCTGATTGTGTGTGTGCATGCACACACACGTACATGTGGAGGTCAGAGGTCAGCCTGTGAGAGTCAGTTCTCTTCTTCCATCATGTGGCTCCTGGGGAATCAAACTTGGGTTACCAGGCTTGAGGACATCACATTTATCTGTTGAGACATCTTTCTGGCCCTTTAAATCCTACCTTTCCCCCTTAGACGCTCTGCATTGCTTCTCCATGGCAGAAGAGGTGCTTTGGAATGTGTTTCGTAAACAGCCCCTGGTAGTCAGAATGGTACCCAGGGATGAGTTAGAGTCCTTCATGATACTTAGGATGTCCTTGGTAAACTTTGCCTTGAAAGATGCCAAATCTATCTCTCCCTCACTCTGCCACTGGTAGATTACTTCTTCAGTCTTTACCCAAAAAGGAGCAGAACTTTTGGAAAGGTTTTGGAAAGTTCGAGGGGCTTGTGAAGTCACTGCAGTGATGTCAGACAGGTCCAGGTGCAGAATTCATAGGACATGGGACAGACTGATTCCAACCCTTAGCTTAAAAATTATCAACTACCTGAAAGTGTTGTTGATGGTTGAACTTTAAACAAAGCAAGAGACCACTATATGAGTTACAAGTCCAGAGAAGGTGAGATTGAAGATGTGCATGAAAATCAAAGTGAGGTAGACTATATCACAAGGGTCCGCCTGTCCTAGTGGGCAGGATGTCTGTCTCAAACGGACCCATCAGAGCAGCCATGTGCTGAGGTAAGCTTCTAAGATCCTGAAAGGCACCACTCTTGCCACAGTGCCCACAGGGACTTGATCCAAGTACTGTCGGTGGTCTCACTTCTCTGTCCCCAGCAACCTGAGAGCTGCCTCCTCTGCCATGAGATGACTATTCAGAGAAGGGCAGGCACTCTTACTCATGGGCCTTATAAAACGTGTTTTCCTTTGAATTGGAAGTAGCTTCAGTGTATTATACTGGGCTGTCATCTAGTGAATCCTTTAATACATTACATTAAAATATAATTAATGATGGTACTCTGTAGAGGTTAAATAAAAATTGATATTAAAAAATATTTTAGCAGTTCCTCTGGAATATGTTTAGTGGCCTATTTTATCAAAAGCATAAAAACACACACAGACAAAAAGCTAAAAGTTAAAAATATTATTAGTCCCTAAGTAGTAGAACTTAGATGAGTTTCTTACAAAAAAACTCATTTGCATCACAAAATGTTCAAAGCTCACATTACAAACATTTTGTGTTGAGGTCACTAAGTTCTGTTTCACCAACCAACGCTAGGGCATCTCAGAGCTTGTAATGAGCTTCATAAATCGGTGTGTTTGTGGCCAGAAATCCACAGGAATAAGGTCTCAGCTCTCACTAGTGCAGCCCAGCCCCGCCACACAGCCAGGCCTCTCCTGAGTCCACCTTTATCACTGTTCTGACAGTTTCTGAAGAATCGCATCTTTTTGCCTTTTCCACTGAAAGGCTGTAGGACTCTGGCACTAAGCTTCTGGCTACTCTTGTACTGGCAGTGATCTTCTCTGGTGCTGGTCTGTCTCATTTCAGTGGCTGCTGGGTCTTCATTGCAGGTCTGAAGCATATGGGTACTACAACAGGACCTTCGTCTCCCTGTGGTCCTGGTGCTCTCCTAAGCCCCGTATCAGTTCAGAAAGCAGGGCTGCTATTTATGTCTTCCTTATGACTAATGATACTCTTAAAAAAAAAAAAAAAACATATTCCATCCACATGTACCATAAAAAATGTTAAAGATAAAAAGATATATAAAGTTTTAAATGTATACAGATATCATATAAATTACATATATAGCTACATATGACATGCATATACATGTATAATACATGCATATATGAATATATGCTACATATATATATATATATAGCATGTCTTACATATGAGTCTCTGTTGTATAAAACTATGTACATATGTGTTACTGCCCACACAGTTTCCCAAACAATTGAAATCCCCCATCAGTTTCCAGGTCTCTGTTAAAAGCGGCCTTTGCCCATATCCCATAGCTGAACCAAAGACATGGTGGTACCCAGAGAAAAACAAAGGGACTTGGCTTAGACTCCACAGTCTAAGTCTTTTGGCAGGGATAGCTATCTAGCAGAGCATGATGAGCAGATTCAATGAAGTCACCCCAGAATCTGCTGGACATAGATTTCTTATCAAGCTACTGGGTGTTATGTACTAATAATATAACATCTAAGGGTACCTGAGTACTTTGAGGTGTAGCCCAGGAGCCACATCCCACTGCCTTCATTTCTCTCCCTCTGGCTTTCTACCTGGCATGGCCACTATAGGACAGCCTCTTACTATGGGTGTTTTCAGCTCAAACCAAGATGAGGAGCCAGCCAGAGGCTTGCAAAACAGGAAGTTTGGGCCCTCTCCTGGCTTGTTCTGTCACTTCTCTGTGAGAGAGTGCTGGTGGAATCTGAGGCTAGAGCTGAGGAGTGGGAGACAAGGACAGAGCTTGTATTGCCCATCTGCCAGGCTGGAGGTGTATTCATTATTGATGGAGGTAGTGCGTTGCTGTTCAGATATGCAGCCAGCCTGGGTAAATGAGACATTCTTCAGCAAATTGCTTCGTTTTTTGATTGCTGATTGTACGCGTGTCACCAAGCTGACTCAAGGTTCATCGATGCATGCTCAGTAAATTAGAAAGAACATAACTATGGATCAGCCAAGAGAATGAATTCTGTGCCTACAATGACCCAGGGCCATTTAATTTTCTGCTTAATTTTGTTGCAGTCAGTTTGCATTTTGGGTTATTATGCAGTAGGAAATTAACAATAAATAACAAATTTGGTCCTCCTGTGCTTGTAATGATATTTTTATAAATCTTTGTAATGCTGTTTTTTAAAGGATCAAGGTCTGTGCTAGTCTGATACTCCAGCAAGTATGTGAAGAGGAAAATGCATTATTCTTACCAGATAGCCTTGTTGTTAAAGAGTGTAATCTCTCTCTCTCTCTCTCTGTTCCTCTCTCTCTCCGTCAGTATTTTTGCTTTAAACTAAAATCCATTTTTCTCTTTTCTCAGATAATCTGAAGACAATGGATGCTGACGAGAGTCAAGACATGTCCCAAGTTTCAGGTGAGACCGTGGGTGATAGATGTATGTCCAGAAGTTGTGCTGACCATGCTTGGGGGAGCTAGCAAGGCTGCCATAAAAGAAAAGACCTGAACACAGGTTTTCTTCAAATTTTAAAGCATCCTAACTTGAGAACCTGAACATAAAAACCTCCCAAACTAAATCAGTTATAGTGTTAACTCTGAAAGCGACTCAAAAAGGATTAAATACTGTACTTTTGGAGAAAACTATAATGGCTTTGTCTACCAAACATCTAAAACGCATGCCAAAGTGGCATTTAAAAGATAAAGAATGGGAGAGGAAGAGGAAGAGACAGCAGCATAAAAAGAAAGCATAACCACCAACAGGGCCCAGTTCAGAATCTGAGCAGTGACCAAGTGTGGAAGGCAAAAACATGGCTGCCTGGGTCCTCTCATCTTACCAGACCTGGAGAGTGGAATACTACAGCTAGTAGAAAGGTGGAGTCAGGGTCCAAGCTGTCCAGTGAGGGAACACTGAGGATGGGCCATCCAGCAGATCCTGCCCTGTCCCTGTGTGCATGTGTGTATGAGGCCCATTCCCTCCTGGCCCTGTACCTGGACAGTACCTGGAAGCAGAGTTCCTGGACGAGAAGGTTTATTCAGTAGTTCTGTTTCAGAGCCTCCAGGAAATTCCCCAGTCCCAGAAGCCTGACCTCTATATGGCACTGGTCAGTCTGCCATCTGTGCCTTGGCCGCATTGCCTCCTCAGGTTCTAGAGAGGTGTTTATGTGTTCACAGGTTTAGATTTTGGTCTAGATGGGTGGTCCTGAGGGAACCTACGCTCGATATGTCATGCTGCCGGGCTCACTAGAGGACCTCCATGTCTACCCCTCTGGAATGGCCACTTTTAGAAGGTGGTGACCTGATGCCCTCCTAGTTGAGAGTGCTCTGTCAATCTGGTTTTAACTATGCCAAAAAAAAACTTGTTCATGTGATACAGTTTACCCACTTCAGTGTAAGGAATCCATCTTAAAACTAGACTCTTACAAGTGGACAAAACAGTGAAGCACACATTTACTGTGGCATTCTCATTAATACTTAAACACTATGGCATGTGCACTAACCTGTACCCTCAGCTCTTAAAACCAAGGACAGTGGGAACATGAAGGTGTGGAAAGAAATCTGAAATGTACATGAAAATGGAGATGATACAGGTGGGAAAATAAGATAAATTACACATATGTGTGCACACATACACTCTTCATGCTTGAGTAGAGAGTTACAGAGATTCTGGAGGGTGTATGTTAACCTGGACTCCCCCCAGAAGCTGAGTGCTAGAAGAAAGATTGGCCTGCTTGAGGGAGCACAAGAAAAGAGACGTATCTCTTTTCTTGTACCTTTTAGAGTTATTTGATTTTATTTTCTTTTATGCTTCTTAAGCAAAACACTAAAGTGAAAAGATGCTTTTTAGCTTGTCACAGCTACTTACCCATCCCCCAAAGCCCAGAAAAACAGTGTGTGTGAAACATAACTAAAGGAGGAAGATGGGCTCTACTTATGGAAGACCTCACCCTCTGGACTCACCCCTTACACCTTGATTGCTTTGAATGTCACAATAACAGGGATGTTGAGAAACTTCAGGGGCAAGAACAGCCCCTCTTGTTGGTTTTGTTTCTCTGCTTTTCTCCACTGCTTTGACCTCAGAGGACTTCTGAGTTTATGTTTTACAAAATGCACTCAGGAGGGGTGAGAACTCTTGGTGCCCGTGGCACCTACTTTCTTGATGTCCTAATGTCAAAACAATAGGCTAGAGAAGAAATCAACCCAAATGCCCATCAGTGAATAAATGGATAAAGTGTGGTATATATAATACTACATATATATATATATATATATATATATATACACATATATATACACACTATGTATATAATGGAATACTATTTAGTTATAAATGTTGGAATCCTGTCATTTAGGACAACATGGATAGAACAAAAGAGCATTACGTTAAGTGAAATAGTCCAGGCACTAAAGGTCAATGGTATGCACACATGTGCGTGTGTGTGTGTGTGTGTGTGTGTACATATACATAAAGAAGCATAATAAAAGAATAAGTCAATAAGGTAGGAACTTGAGCTGATTCCTAAAAAGTAAACAAAAAGCAAAGAGGAAAGGAAAAAGCATTTTAGACAGAAAATGCCATGATATTTTCAGTGCTTCACAAAGATTATAGCAATTTATTAAGGTAACATGGCAGCAACACATTGTTAATAACAACAACAATAAAAAGAACATTACAAAGGAAACTGAACCCCTAATCTAAGGCTTCATATCTTTATATAAGTCTTCATCCCATGTCACAATTGCATTTTCATACTTATTTGTAGGATCACTCCCACGTTTTACCCCATAAAGGACATGCCATTGTTTGTTCAATACTGTTTATAGTAAGTAAGCAGTATGATTATGTTAAGTGACTTGTGGATGGATTGAATAATATTTGAAGATTTCTCTAAAAAGGAGGCTGAGGGAATAATTTCTGCCAGAGGCCAGAGAGTAGAGGAGGATTCTAATGGAGAAGTTGATCAGTGGATACAAAGCCAGAGGAGGGATAAACTCCTGTGTACATTTGCACAGTCCGTTGACTGCTATTGGCAATAATGTAGCATATCTCAAAATATCTAGAATACAGGATTCTGAATCTGCTCACGATAAATGGTCTGGTGTGGTGGGTGTGTCACCCACACATATGTATTTGAGTGTTGCACACTGAATGCATGACTGAAATCTCGGACATCATACTATACCACATAAACATGAACAATTATTGGGTGTCAGTAAGAAATGAAAAACAATAAGGATGCAAACACCCTCTAGCCTTGAAAATTACCTCTAAAATGCTAACTATGAGGAATAGTCAATATTCTCTTTTTTTCCATTTTGATCCCAGGGCTTGCAAAAGCCTTGGTTCCTTGAACTTCCTTTTCTTGCCCTTAACATTATGCTGGATGCTTCATGTACTGTGGGCTGCTCTAAAAGAGAAGACAGCTAGGGGCAGGGACAGCAAGACAGCCTGAAAAACTCCTTCACTCTCCTTTTTGTTTGAAAAAGTTTGTTCTGAAATTTTCCCTGTATGCCCATAGCAAATGACCCTCTCTCCAACCCTGATGCAGCTGCCCAGTTCTGTTTTTTGAACGCTCTGAGCAATGGTTAGTGCATCCATGGAGTGTGTCACACTTGGGAAAGAATTACACTTCTTTTATACTTTTATATTTCTTTAAAGTTCATAATCCTCAATTCAAAGCCATATTTCCTTCTTTGTCTGCCTAGACTGGGAAGAAAGTAGGAAGGAAACACATTTGGCTAAAAAGGAGTTAACTTGTTTGTTTTGCTTTGTTTTTCTTGCAGCCCTGGGGATGGAACCCAGAGTTTTGCTCATGCAAGGCAAGCATAGGATTCTCCCTAATATGTATGATACTTAACAAACACAGTCCTCACGTGGCCCCTGTTTTCAAAGCCTTTGGGTTCTTCTTCCCTGGAGTGTACCCTAAATGTGGATGGTGCTCCAACTGATGCCACCTGTGGGTGGGGACAATCTTAGAGGTTGACAAGCATTGCAGATCATGCTCACTGACTTGAGCCCATTAAGCTTACTGATAGGAATTGGCTCTAACTTGCAGGTGTGTCCAGCCTTATTACACTGTCTCCTACAGAGATCACACTCAGGGACAATGCAATTAAGTTACAAAATAATCACCAAGAACCCCTCAATGTTTTCAGCATGTTTACAGATTGGGGCACAAAATCTCTCCTGGCCTATAGTCCTCAGACTTGAGGTTGAACGCATGTGAATCTAAAGAAAGCTGTCATTTTCTTCAGGCACTCCTCACTAACTTTTTGATTGAAGCTACTTTTCCTATCTCTTCTTCATTAGTATTTTCAAATTACTCATGCGTATAGATTGCACTTTTGTGTGCCTTCTAAGGAAAGAGGCAGTCTATGTATGGGAAGAAGCTTGTGGAAGTTGTAAGGCCGTCTCCACGCCCATTTCTGACTGCAGCTGTGGGACCCAAGCCAGTGTTCTTGCCTCCTGAACCATGGTGTGTCTCCTGTAGCAGCAGGAACTCTGCTGCTACAGCAGCCAGTGAATCTCTGAGGCTTCTCTGGCTCCCATCACCTGAACTATGTATTTGATATTTTCTTAATGCTGTTTGTAATGTATTTGTTGGAACGTGCACACAACAAGTACACCCTGTAGACATACATAATCTGCGTAGGAAACAAAGGAGCCTCATATATATTAAATAACAAAAGTATCCTACCTAGTTGATCCTAGTAAATCACATTGATTGAGCACTCTGGGTGACCCAAATACTATTCTAAGCATTTTCTCATTTTCACCTTACAAAAGCCCACTGCAGGAGGACACCATTATCTCCACGTTGTAGGAAGCTGAGACCCCACCCATAAGAAATTGACAAGAAGTCCCACAGAGAGCCAGGGAGGAAAAGTCTACTGCAGCCTAGGCTATACGCATCTCCTCTCTCTAGGGTAGTGGTTCTGTAGTAGGAGCATTTACTTACCCCTGGGATTATGTTCCCTTAGGTCTGTCTGCATATTAAAGATGCATGCCTTTGGAAGAGAATCCTAGAGCTTTGCTGGGTATCTGGGTAAATTATAATCCACTTGAGAAATCATGTACTTTTAGCTTCAGATTAAGGGAACAATTGCTTTACTTTATCCACAAAATCTTCTCAAAGACATTACTTGACACATAGGCAACAAGTATACATTGGTATATTTATAGTTTAGCCAGAAGTTTTGTTTTCTAAGCAAGTGAAATTTTAAAATTTGCCTTTTTAGAGTCATTCCACTTGACTTATTAACTCTTAACTGTCTTGCTTTCCCCACCCCACTGCTTGTGCTGCCAGGTAAAGGTATGTACAAGCTATGTCCTGTGCTTCCATGGGGAACTTCAGGTTACCAAGCCATACCACACGTTTAACAGGTTAGCATTCATGCTCATTGTTAATTTTATTTTCACCATGGCTTTCTGAACTATGCCCAAGTCATGAATTTTTAACCTCTGGTTATACCTGAGGAGAGAGTTCTAACATGGTGGCCATCTCTCCCTTCCCATCAGTTCTTCAGTTGCTTTAATCAGACCTGTATCCCAGGTCAATCATAATTGGGATGTGTTGGCTTTACCTAGAACTTTCTTTTTGAAAGAAATAATTCGAATGGTTAGTGGGGCAAAAGCCAACATGGACAGTTATTTTTGCCTATCAGGAAGGTTTTCATGAAACAGTAAGTTTTTCCCCAGGAAGACCTCCCAGCAGTAAAAGAATGCAAAGGTCCTTGGACACAGAGCCCCCAAGGTGATGAATATGTCTGCAACATAACTCACACTGGGGGGCTTTTAGGCAAATCAGAGGACCTCTTAAAAACCATCAGTGAAGCTGGGGTGAGGCAGGGCTGAATTAATGTCGTGCCCTTGGCCACCAAGTGAATACATCCGGTTTTGTTCCTTCAGGTCTGGTTTCGTACTCCATGCCCCTATACACATGGGGGCTGATCTGTTATTTTTCCTTCTCCCTGTGTGGCTTCTTCTGCTCTGAGAGTTCCTATTGATCACTCCAACCCACAGTATTTTAGAATCATGATCCCTACTGTTTGATTACACCAAGATGTAAGATGGGGGACACTGGTGAGCCAGCCTTTTAGTGTAATAACTTGAGCCAGTTGAGATTCTTAGGAAGTACTGTCGTTACTATGAACATGATCCTTAAGACGTAGTTTATACTGTTCTTTCAATGGTGGATCAGCCACACTTTTAAAAATGGATAGCTATGAATTCTTTTGCATGTGATTCAACACGAATTGGACTGAAAGTATGTCGTGCTTTTATTGGCTCAGCCTTGATCTGTATCACACACACACACAGAGAGAGAGAGAGAGAGAGAGAGAGAGAGAGAGAGCTTTAGTGTTGCATGGCATTTCCATGGGCCCAGAAGCATCATGGATGACACCTAAGTTATTACAGGAAAGATCATCATAACAAAATAAGTCAAAGCAATTTCATGTCTCCTTCTCCAGCTCCGACTCAACACTAATGGCAACTGGTTAATCACAGGGCCCCACCGCTCCATACACTATGTATGTGCTGACTCTTATAACAGCTTCTTAGGCTGTGGCACTGTTGCCAGGGACCCCGCTCTCAATTTCTTTTCTTTTATTTTTTGTCTGAAGTTACAATGCAGTTACATCATTCCCCTCTTCCCTTTTCTCTTTGGAGGTTAGTTACTAGTCTTTCAAAAGGCAAGTGGTGTGTGACTCTGTTTACCCAGCCTTCCCCTTCCTCACTCCAGTGTCTACATTCTAAAGAAGATCTGTCCAATAAGAATTTTATGTGGTTGTCCTCTTTCAGTATCTTCCTAAAGTTCTCAAACTTTGAAAACCTTTATTCTGGGCCATGACTCTGTATGCAAGTAAGAGCTGTTAAGTGCTCCGTATACCTTCTTCTGCCTTCTCTTGGTTAGAGTTTTTCCTTGCTTATTGCAAAGATGAGAACCAATGCCACAAGTCCAACTACTGTTACTTTAAAGGTCTTCTATTTAAGGTGAGGGAGACAGTGCTGACTAATGCACCAGGACTCCAGCATAGCATGAACACTTTCAATCAGTCTCTCGAGGCTTTTGTTTTTCTTTTGGGAAATTATAATCTTACCCCATCTTTAACTATTTATCTTGCATATCAGCTAGCCAAATATACCCAATAATGCTCTTTCTGAAAATATGCCAATTGCTCTAATCACAGATAACCTGGGATATTACATTGTGATGTCTCTTTCTTAGAGATTGTAACACTATTCCCCAAAGCATGTCCTTGGTGCCTCTACAGTTTCTATTTTAAAGATTCCAGTAAAGCTTGTCTCGTGGATTTGTTTTACTGATCTTATCCATCTCCTAAAATGTTGGTGCATTTCTTGTGAGTTGATCCAATCTCCATGTCTGGTCATGTTCTCAGAAATTTTTACTGATTGATGTGTTGTTTACATATGCTCTAGAAAAGTCTGGGCCAGTATCTGTGGGAAGGTCATTTTGCCTGTAGGGCCAAGTTACCAACTCAGCAAGCACACATCTGGAGTATTGGTGCTCTGGTAGCCTACCTTCAGGATCTTGAACCAGCCTTTCCTTTGTAAGTAGCTACAGTGGGTTGGTTAGCACAGGCTTAGTGCCTCACTAACCATGTCTCATATGTGGTTTGTGTCTGTCACTCCCTTTAAATCAGCTCCAGAAAGGTGAGCACTTCAGCGTTCCAGCCTCCATGAGAAAAGAGTTATTTTCTACCAGTGACAGCTTTACTGTGTTGATCTCAATTTCCCCAACCCTAACGGAGCTAGACAAACTTCATTCTAATCCAGCCAAAGATTGCTGGGGAGAAAGGATTACCAGAATGAGAAATGAGGGGAATGAGACAGTAACCAGGAGTGACAGTAATCAAAGAAGCTGTGTAAACATGTATGAGATTGTCAAATAATAACAAAGAAGGGAGGGAGGAATGGTGAGAGAGAGAGGAAGTGGAAGAGAGAGATAGTCAGAGAGAGAAAACCTTACCTTTTAAGTGTAACTAACTTTTATCTTTGTATGGAATGTGACTTTTCCAAAGCCTGGGAAGAATCTCAGAGATATAGCTGCCCAGCAGTAACACTTCCAGAGACATATATAATGGTGATCTTTAAGGATATATCCAAAAGTTGGCTGGTAGGATGTTCAGTACAGTATTGTTTAAAAGAATAAGATAGAGGCTGGAGAGATGGCTCAGAGGTTAAGAGCACTGCTTGATCTTCCAGAGGTCCTGAGTTCAATTCCCAGCAACCGTATGGTGGCTCACAACCACCTGTAATGAAATTTGGTGCCCTCTTCTGGCATTCAGGTGTACATGCATGCAGAACATTGTATACATAATTAAATAAATCTTTAAAAACAAAAGAAAAAAAAAGAATAAGATATATAAAAAAATTATAGGGTCAAAAATAGCAAAAAAAAAAAAAAAGGAACTAATTCCTCATGTATCCGTTATAAATAAATTGTAGAAATAGGTCTGTATCACCAAAGTGTATTGAGAATATCTAAAAGCTGACTTTCTTTGAAAAATGACATCACCACATATCAATGTTCATGTAGAAATTTAGCACCAGGAATAGCTAAGGTCACAGATGCTGTTTTGTCTTTTGTTGTTGTTTACCTTTTATAAATCTTTGTTCTCTGATGTTGATTTAGCCCTTGGCAGTGATCCTCATTCCTAAAAATAAATGTTGGTCCTAACAGAGCAGTATTAACTCAAAGCAGGTACCCCTTCATGCTGCCCTAGTGTGCCATCAGGGTGAATCCCGGGCACTAAGGGTTTCTCAGCAGCTGACAGCACCTGCCAGAAACTCAAGCTCTGATTTGTGTCTGCAGGGAAGGAGAGCCCCCCAGTCAGTGACACTCCAGATGAAGGGGATGAGCCCATGCCTGTCCCCGAAGACCTCTCCACCACCTCTGGAGCACAGCAGAACTCCAAGAGTGAGCGAGGCATGGGTAAGTGGGTCACCCCGCTGTCCTGCTGGCTGAGGCATTTGCCAGTTAGGAAATGGCTGCTATGTAGGTTAAGGTAGGTGTAGGTTCATCCTCTCTTTGTCCTCTGAGGTCAGTCACTTAATATATTTCAGGGTTTCCTAAATTTGGGACTTGAGCAATCTGTTTTAACTGATGTGTTTATTTTTAAGGTTGTTTTCTGTTGATTGCAAGTGATTTTGGTGTTACTATGTGCTGTATTACTAGCTTGGTTAGGTACCTTTTGAAACATATTTACATAAATTTAAATGTTAGTTAGATCTCCTTTGTTTAGTCCAGAAAGCAACCCCCTACTACAGGTAACGCAGGAATAAACAAAGCTCAGGACCTGCCTGTGGTTCTCATCACAAAGCAAGAGGCTCTGTTCTGGGAAACAAAAGAAACTCCTTTGACCATGCCACACAGGGAGAACCCCTACTTCAGAGTCAGCCTACTGACTTGGTTCTCATGGAGAAAGAGGTGGGCTTGCCCTGAAATTCCACAGCAGCTGTGGGAACCTCTGCAGAATCATCATGCTTTAGGGAACTGAAAACAACAAGGCTGGTTCCTGGAGAGCAGGGAAGATGTGTGTATTTCACTTGTTGCAGATGAATAGGTCATGAGGGCCCACAAAATGCTTGTCCCTTTGACCATGCAGTGTGAGAGGGTATCATCCATGGCTGGTACTGCTGCTGGCTCCTTCAGATGGCGCCCTTTGCATCCTGAGTCAAGTGCTTAGTCCCAGGTGTGTTTGGTATGGACAAAAGCCCATTGGACTTCCACTGGACTTGTCATTTCCAAGGGCTCCTCTCCCTGACGATCAGTGTGTACAATTTTAATTCAATTTCCTTTCAGGATGAAGTTTAGAAGGTAGTAATTTCAAACTTGAGAAATTAAAATGCCTGGTAAGCATTTTGGCCTGGCTTGACAGTAGCAGTTGATGTGGCCCTGAAGACAGGGGAGGCTGTTTGAAGTGAGCATCATGAAATAAGCAAGCAAAGGTTCTTGTGGACAGCTAAAGGCCAAAGAATCACTTGCCAGAAAAGCCGAGCGCGAAAGGCCAGAGTACAGACAGGATGATATGGGAAAGGTGTGAGAGGATCTGCTACAGAAGTACCCGCAGTCATACCACATTGTGGCTATCTTGTCCTAAGTGATTCTTGAAGGTAATCCACCTGTTTCCACATGTAGGCTCTAGGCCATGAGTTCCGTAGCTTGTAGAATATAACATTTAGTAGAATGGTGAGAAGATAACATGTAGGGATATTCACAAATCAAAGGAAATAAATTTGAAGCAATACCTCAACACACCATCTCCTCAAGTGGTTCATGAGAACCAAGGACTAAAAAGGACAGTGGACCAGGAGTCCAAAAAATCTGGGGAAGGAGCAAAGGACAGCAGGAGGAAGCAAGCTCACGGTGGAAACAGGGAATTGGTTGGTATGAGGGAAGTGGTCATGCAGGAGAGCAAGTCTCAGTAGGGGTATATCTCAGATTCCTAGTATCTGGCTGTGAGCCTCAGGACAGAGTTTCTCATCTTCTCAGAGCCTCAGTTTCCTCATGTGAGCAAGAACAGCTAACACATGCCCCAGAATGGTTTTGTGGGCCAGACAAGAAAAGAAGACAGAAGTGAAGACAAAAATAAAAGATCAGGAAAGTGTGTTATACACTGCAAGACTTACAGTCCTGGAGAAAAGGGGCCAGTGTGGTTTCAGTAGTGAGCAGAGTACAGGCAACAGAGCATAAGGAAAAAAATGAGTTCGTTAATTAAAAATGAACCCATAATATCAGCAAATTGAAAATAGTCAGAAGAGAGAGAAATGTGTTGGAGTAGGACAATGCCAAAGGAGAGACTGACTTCAAATGGAGACTGTGAGCCCTTGGAGTGTACAGTCCACAGATGTATGGTGAGAGCTGGCCAGCATGGAGGGTAGAGCAGGTCGGGTCACTCACTGGGTGAGACTGGAAAGTGATGGGCCTGCTGTTGACAGCTGTGAGCCATAGCAGGAGGCTCTAGCACCAGACAAGAACCGTAAGAAAACCAATGGTAGGAACCAGCCCCCAGCTGGTTAGTGGGTCATTCCCAGGATTTGAAAAGTTAGGGTTTCACATACTCCTGCTCTTTCTAATAATGAAGAAAGGACACTGTAGATCTATGTCTAAATACTAGGACAATGACAGCCAGAAGCAGAGCAAGACAAGCACTGGTATTGGGCCTCCATTTTCTTCAAAGTTTGAAAAAAGAAATAAAAGATGTGAACTGCTGCTTGAAGAATTTAAGTCAGACCCACAGGAGAACTTTCTGGAAAGTGGGGATTTAGTCATCAGAATACTTAATGGCACTGTGGCTTGTTCTTCTGAAGTGGTCTCTTTAATAATGAGAGAACTCTCAGCTCTCTGAAGTGGTTGTATCTGAAACCATTTGAAGCTGAGGAAGCACTCACTGACCTCTTCAGGCAACCCTGAGTTTACCAAATCTTGATTGTTTGCTGGAGGGAGGGCAGAGCCCAGCTGAACTGACACAGAACTTCTAAGGCCCTGTAAAAGCCTTCCTGTGGGGCAGTGTCCAGGTTGATGCCTAGAGAGCAGAAAGGCAACCTGTAAAAGAAAAACAACGGCTCTATACTCTCTTCCTTTGCTCAGTAATACTTCTTCCTTCTTTCTGGTGAGTTTCCTCCTGGTTTGGGTTTGCCCTTGCCCAGTGTGGCCTGGAAGGAACCAGAACTGTGCTGCCATCCCCACCTGGCAAGCTGGGGACTATAGCCACACAGTGAGAGTTCAGAGGGCCATGCTATGTTAAATGCAGCCATAGGGAAGCTGGAGCAGAGGGAGAAGGAAACCAGGAGTGCAAGGGGGGATTCCAGGCTGAAAACACGAACACCCTGAGAAGGCCCAGCCAGTGTGGGGCTTAGCACAGAGTCCAAGGGAAAAGCCCGCAGAGGCACAGACACCCACGGCGGAACTGGAAACAGTGTTGCAGACCAAGCTGCCGGGTCTGCAGGGAATGGTAGGCCCTTGGCTGAGAATTAGGACCACCAGTGCAGAACCCAGACAGAAGGAAATGGGATCGAACTCTGAGGGGTACAATTTAGGAAACGCATCTTTTCAGTCTCTGTTTGAGTGAATCTCAACCTGATAGTCATCTGCCGGCATGGAGAGAGGCTGACCCTGTGCACAGCTTCTGAGTGCTTGGGCTGTAAAAAACAAAATGTACATTTTTCATTCCTCTAGGAATCCTGAAAGAAATAATGAAGTGTATGCAAATATTGATGTTGGTTTTTATTTTGTTTGGCTGCTTTGTTTTTTCTTCTTACACTGACTCATTACACTGGCTCAGGCATGAGGACAGGGCTGTAGTAGGAACTATAAGCAATCATTTCAAGTTTTCATTGCATATAGGACGTATACATGATAAGGACATTTAAAATAAATTTTCATCACTATGTTTTAACTGATTGTCCTGGTGCCAGTGTCCTCTCCTGTGGGGTAGGGAGGTATTTAGTGTTGGTTTTGGTTGGCATACGAAATCTGTGTTTCACTGTGGCGTTGTCAAACATACTACAGCACCAGGCTTATTCACCCCATCACTACCACCCTTGCCTTTCTCCTGTCTCCACGGTCACCTTTAGGCAGGCAAGGGTGGTTCTCGGGCCGGATGGCAAGTGAGGATTCTCTTAGACCTGAGAGAGGGGAGAGGCGCTGGAGAGAGTTTTTCAGGACTGGAAGAGAGACAGCAGGCCTGGCTGGCGAGTGGGCAGCTGGCTTCAAGTACGGATGTGAGTCCTGCTATCTAATCAGCAGCTAGAGGAAGTTGTTTTTATCAGTGAAGTGCATCTCCTCTGAAGCGATAGCCCCATTTCGGCTTGGAAGAAGCATTATCTAGCAGCATCTGAGCAGCTGCAGCAAATGCAGGGACTGAAGGTGTGAGCAGGCAGTGTCTCCAGGCTCGGGAGCTGCCACCACCTCGGCCGCTGGGCTTCTCTGCTCTGTCTGGGGAGGACTGGAGTATGTAGGTTGGCTTCATGTGGGCCTTGCTTTCTCTTTCTCCCTTCCTTGCTCTTCTTCAGAGATGAATGATCTGTGCTATGGTTTCAACAGGGCAGATGTGTAAAATTCTATGCTGTTCATAATGTAACTTACTATCTCTACCTTGGAGTGCTTGTAAAAGCCAACGGGAGCCCCCACAGGCATGTCCCAATCATCTGAGAAGGATCCCCTGTTCATGAATTTCCCAAAACATGAGATAGTAAGCAGTGTTACAAAAACTATTTTCCTGCCTTCTTTCTCTTTCCATGCTTGGCTCAAGAGGCTGGTATGTGGCTGAGGCCTTGCCTCCATCGGAGGAATGTGAATTGCAGACTGCTAACCAGGCCTTTAGCCTTCTGCATCTCCCTTAATCTCTCAACCAGCAGGAATCACAATGTTCTTCACAGAACTTCCTGACAGTTGGCTATGCCTGAACTTTGCAGTGACTCTGCGTATCTCCTGTCCTCCTAGGGTGGGCTTGGGTGTACAACAGGGAGACTGGGCAGCAGGAATTTAAGGCTATTCCTTGGAGGAAATGGAAACTGATTTGTGTCTCTCAGGACCTGTGTGTGCATGGTTGCTTCTGGTTTATGTGCTGTGTATGTGATGGGTGGATGTGTGTTTGTGTGCATGAGGGATACGTGTGTGCTTGTTCATGTGTTCCTGTGTGTGGCATGTCCATATATATGTATATTTGTGCACAATGTACAGTATATGTGCATATGGGTATGTGATGTTTTTATGCATGTGTATTTGTGGGTGAGATAATAAATATGTATGGTATGTATCTATGTATGTGTGGAGTATGTGAGGAGGGTATGTGTGTGTACATATATATGTACTATGTGTGCATATATGTGGTGTGTTTGTCGTGCTATGTATACGTATGGTATTTGATGTGTGTGTGATATGTGGCATATATGTCTATCTGTGTGATATGTGTGTGCTATAGTGTGTGT